ATAAACATCACGGCTGTGAACTACCTAGCTGTACCCTATAAATGGAAGGATAAAAACGAATAGATCACAAAATGTCAATTTAGCAATTCTGAAACGTTTTGTGAAGTATTTTCTAGAAACTTCGTTAATAAAGTAATGGATTTATTCGTTTGTATTTTGACACATCGTAATCATAGACCGAGCGGCATGGCCAAGAGGTTTAGACCATTGCTTAGGATTCGGGAGGACAACGGTTCGGTTCCGGGCCCGTCTGCCTTGGTCCAAGTTTTTCTGTGGTTTCCTTGGATCACTTAGGCAAATGCTGGAGTTATAATATTCCACAGATAATCTTTCATTCTCTTCTGTCTTCATTTCGTCCGTCTCATCTTTCTCACCCGAACCCACCCACCCATTCCCAAGATTCCTGAAAGCAGGCTGAACAGGGCCTTCCGCCCTACCTTCTGGCGTAGTCCGAAGGGACTGCCCGCCCACCAGCATTACTGGCTGGTGGGAATGAAACACCCAAAAGTTTTTTTTTTTTTCTCAGTTTATTTGTACTACTCATGAANGTAATCATCGTATCTACGAATATTATACTTAAAAAATATATATTTTATACATGTAGTTTAAATTAATCTGTAGTTGCATTTTTCGTTGTTATGTAGCGCTGATTGGCAAACGTGATGATGTGATGATATTTTAGGACCAACATCAGGGTTGCAGTTCATTTGAAATAAGATTTTGTCACAAATTATGAATGGAATTCATATTAGCGAAGATGCGAGTAACAACGTTGAAATATAGAAGCTAATTTTTACTTGCTTAATAATAAAAATATTTCTGTCGTTATTCTACATCCATTATATATGTATTTTGCACAAATTTTCTCACCACTCAATGTCAGTCTGTAGGTACATAAAGCCATTCAAAAGTTGAAAACGTTACAAGTAGATGAGCATTGCACAATTTTCAACTGACGAAACAACTTGGTTGTCGTTTATTGTAATATTATAATGCTCTCGAATTTAATCTGCAGAAACCAGTTTAATAACGGAGTTACAAACTGAATCTTTGTACAAAGTGTAACCTCTTTTCTAGGACGACAAAAAACACACTACTCTGTGTCGTGCACACCTTGCAATTTTTGAAAGGCGATTGAACTCGACCGAGTACATACTTTATGGATACAAAAATTTCAGTCAGTCAGATATTTTGCAGATAATACTTATTAAATTTTTAAAGTATTATTGTTACTTGTATTTAATCAAAGGTAATTTATAAAGAGAATGTTCAATAATAACGAATCTGTCCGCTTCTGCAGTTTTCTCAATATCTTTAGAACAAAATCAGAATTTATCCCAAAAGATGAGGAAGAAGTTATAAAGAATTTTTATTGATACAATCTGACACAAGGCGTATTGGAAATATATCATCTTTCTATAGACCAATATCAGTTCATAAATTGTTTCTTTTTTCTGTTTGCTTTGGTTGCTTTTCGTTCTGAAGAAGTGAATCAATCAACTTCTCTCATATCTACCGAAAAACGTTCGGCGTATACTTGTGAATGAGGAAACGATAGATTTTATCATTGTAACTATTTATGAAGAGAAAAGCAAGCCGCAAAATTCAGTAATGCAATTCGCTGTTGTCATTATCTTTGCTAATAATAAGTGTGCTTGAAAAGTTAATTTATCTAAGCCGCCAGTAATGCATAGTGATTTCGTATTATGACGGATTATGGACAAAAGATTAGTATGGTTATATTTGCAAATGACATAACAGTATAAGCATCTAGCAAGGAGAAGTCAGAGATAGCTCTAAATAAAATGGAAGCGGTATTGACTAAGCAGTACTGTATGAAAATAAATAAAAGTAAAACAAAGATACTGGTAGGTATGTAGGGAAAGAAAAAGTAGGCAAAGAACGAATATAAAGATAGGAGCCGAAAGATTAGAAGAAGTGACTGATTTTAGGTATCTAGGAAGTCATAAATCAGGACGAAAGGAGTAGTAGGGATATAAAGCAGAAGATAGGGCAGGGTCGAGTCGCCTACAATAAAAAGAAGTCACTTCTATACTCTCGAATGGTTAATTCAGAATTTCGAAAAAGATTGTTAAAGGTGCATGTTTGGAGCGCGGCGCTGTACAGGTGCGAAACGTGGACGTGACTGAGGCGGAAAAGAACAGGTTGGAAGCGGTGTTACAGACAAATAATGAATATAGAGTGGAAGGTTAGAAATGAAGAGGCAATAGAAAGAGTAGGAAAACAGAGGACTCTTTAGAAGGCATGAAAGTCTGGTTAGAGACATTAGGAGTCGAAACAAGAGTTAAGAGGACTAGAGGTAGACCTAGATTAGATTACTATTCGCAAATAGTTAAAGATGTGAGTGTTTTAGTTTTATGGAAATACGAAGATTAGCTCAGGATAGGAAAGAGTGGAGGTGCGTGTCCAACCAGTCTTAGGACTGACGGCCTTATGATAATGATACATATTGAATATTTTAACAAATTTTCTTATTTTTATTTCCAAATTGTCTCTCAATAAGTACACAAGTTTGCAATTTTGACCCACTTTTCATCGAGTATTACATACAAACATGGATGTATTTCTACTAGTGTTGTGTTTAAATGATTGTAAAGTAGGTACACAATACAGTTGCCTGAAAATACACTAAAAAGCATTTAAAAAGCATTTCTGAGAGTCTCTAACGATTAAACAGGAATGATACTTCAAAGGAGTATTAAATTGGCGAAAAAGAACTTGTTGGAAGTTTTACGATGTTACTTTCTTGGTACGGAATTATGAACATCTCCGTTCGCTTTAAAAGTGCTTTAAAAGTAGCACGAAAGCAAAGGAAAAAACGAACTTCAAAGTAAATTGTGTCCTTGGTGAATCAGTGCGGAACATAACTATTGTTCAGCATACAATTAGTTTAAAATACCATTAAATAATATTAAACATTTAAGGAACTACATTGGCTATTGATATTTTTAAATATTATAACCGTATTGTTGAACAAACATTCAAAATCGCTTTTTTATTTTGTTACTTGTTGCTTGATCTTATAAGTTGGTTTGCTTATACATATATTGCCCAGAATCCATATCACTTTCAACATAAATCGTGTTCGTACAGACAGACAATTTTATTTCAAGGAATTCAATAAAAGCTGTTTATTCTTTTCTTCCCCTTGTGCGAGCTAAATCTCACTTATAATCTCAATGTACGTAACAGTGAATGAAAAATGATTATATACTTTTACTACATGAGATTATCTACTAGTAAGCTCTTCCAATTTTTGTTAATGGCATAAATACATGCAGTTTATAAAAAATCTAGTAAAAACAACTTTTTTTTGTAACATACTTTTACCGATGATCCAAAAAGATTTCAATGTAAAATTACATCAAATATATATAAAGGCCTAAGTCGTGATTTCTTTAATGACTTTTAGATTGTTGAAGTATCACCGACTCTAAAACCCTATTTTAAAATTACAAGTTTAGTAGGTACAATCACTAAGATCTGCTATACCACAACACTTACGCTGGAGAAAAATGAGAACGAAATTTCAGAGATATCGGTCACGAACGTGTACAATATAATTAGTAGACTAACTTATTAGGTTCTGGAATATTCTCAAATCGATTATAGTTTTTAATTTTAGTGGTTAATTCGCCAATGGCAAAGTGTATAATGTATANTACGCTGGAGAAAAATGAGAACGAAATTTCAGAGATATCGGTCACGAACGTGTACAATATAATTAGTAGACTAACTTATTAGGTTCTGGAATATTTTTCAAATCGATTATAGTTTTTAATTTTAGTGGTTAATTCGCCAATGGCAAAGTGTATAATGTATACAGTATAATAAAAAAACGAAAGAATAAATAAATTATTTTGGGAATTAAAGCGTAAAAATATTTAACCACGAGTCAGTGTGTTAGTAGATGAAGCCGAACTTTTTATGTTAATAACACAAATAATCAAGTATAAGTTTATAAAAAGCGATTAAAAATCAAAAAGGTCAGATATAACGACTAAACGCCTAATGAACTTCAATTACAGATCCACAAAAGTACAACTACATTTTTCGTTCGATGAATAAGAAGAAAAAATATTTTCGCGATGAGAAAATGTACCTATAAGCGATTTATTTGCGCCGGGCAGAGACAAACGTTTCTTGGTCTTCCTTTTTTTTTATAGGCGCCGTCTTCTTTATGTACAGCTGTCTCTGTATACATATACACAGAGCGTCATTTTCTGTAACAGAGCTGCCAAACAAGACATTACTTAATCCGTAGTAGAGAAGGATATACACTAATGGCGTGTTACGAACCGGACATATTACATGCAAACGGTAAAGAGCGACATCATCTTCTCAAAAATGCAACCTGGTATAAGGAAAAACAGGAAGTACGTTCAGCCATCTTTTGATACAAATAATAAAGTAATATAAGTCAAATAAATGCAATTTATTACATTCAATCTAATGCACAATTAACAAAAAAGGGGCGAGCGCGTATTAGAGTGCACGCATAAGAAGTGAAACTTCTTTAGATTGTATATTAAAGTAGTATTTAAAAAAAAAACTTAAATTATTGAATTAACCAATTACTAAACACCAGAAAAATACAACTTTATTTCGAGCGGACGAATGCAGAATATTGGTTTAGTTTTGTTAAAAACTTTTACGCTTGCACCATACGAAACTACAGAAAGGAATTACAAATCACAAACACAAACGCATATGCGATACATATACAGCATATGCACGATCTAATGGCAATTTTCGGATTATCACTTGCTACTAACAAGTTAGCTTCTGAAGTCTGTTAAAATAACTCCTATTGGACATACCTCCCAGGGGTTACACGTGGCACGTGACGTGACGCGTGACGTTACATTTTTACGCTAGTAAATTTCCCTTCTACCGTCGATAAAAAAGTTTCACTTCAATAATTCATAATTATTGAGTTAAAATAACGCACCCTAAGTCTGTCAGAACTCAAGCTAGGTAGTGGTGGTGTTAATACATTTTATATTCGGGTTACCATATTACGTATCGATTCAATGGTATTTCTTTTTAGACACTCTGTATATGAGATATTCTGAAGTCATCCTTTTGCTTTGTTTACAATCGTGATTGAACGAACAGGTAGCAGCAGGTGTTTGGAGGAACGAGGTACAGCTTGAAGCGACAGCTGTTATTAGTAAATAACCAAGGATTCAAACATAGACTTAAACGTATATGCAAGAAACATCTATACATCCTGCGAAGGACCTATACATATACATAAAGGTACGTCCAGTTCAGAAATAAAATTATTTATCATCATGGTCACGAAAATTTCATCACTAACGTTTTAAGTTTTTTAAGGTAGAAACAAGAAATATTTTACTAATTTATTTGTATACATATATGCATAAGTGGTAGATGATATACAGGTAGGACACCCTATATATACCGCATCATAAACAGATGAGGCAAAATAAGAAAGCCTATTCTAAACGCAATGGGTTGATTATTAAACGTCAAAAAATATATAGCAGACATTGCAGTTAATATTGAAATGACAGAAATACATTCATTTTTGCTTATAGTATTGATTATATTAGTTATTAACGGTTTTCATTTCGCGATGAGTGAAGTCGAAATTCGTTTAAAAAACCGTTTCGGAAAAATTTTGACTCCCTATTACCCTTTTGCAGATACTAAAGGAACTGGAAATATCACGTGGCGTCTCTCACCTTCACCTGCCACAGTTACAATAATCAAATTAATTGATTTTAAATCAGACATTTCGAGTGATGCCAGCTGCATGAACACTTCCTGCTGTCAGGACTTCGTCACGATTGAGATAGCAAACGCAACAAAACTCTTATTTTGCAACAAAACGTCAATTCCACCGTTCCGTCCGAGAGGAAAGGACATAACAATTCGCCTCGTTTCTGGTAAGGACGCTAAGGCATCGTCGAGGATACGCTTCACGTTATTCTATTCCGTAAGAGATGACGTCAAAACAACTTGTGCAGAAACAGAATTAGAATGCTTGGACGGAATGGGCTGTTATAACGTTCAGGATGCTTGCAACTCGAAATTTGAATGTAACGACCATTCGGATGAAATAAATTGTGGTCACTGTCCAGAAAATATGGCAATGTGCAATATTAATTTTAAAAGACGATGCTTTAATCCAAGTAAACAAAGATGTGATGGAGAACTATCATGTCCATTCGGTGAAGATGAGATAGGATGCTCGCCAAAGTATGTGAGACATTACAAAAAAAATAAAGTAAATCCGATTATGTCAACTGCGTTAACTCCATTTGACATTTTTAGTCATTTTAGGCTTGCGCCTCCATAATGAAATATTTACTGCAACTCCACCCTAAGAGGATAATTCTTTATGTTTTGTATAAAAAATTATATAATTTTGTTCAATCATTTGTCTCTCCTTGACAGTAAAAAGAAAACTGACTTCTTTCCCCTGAACGTGCTTACAAAATAATCTCATGATACCTTACCAAAATAAAATATCAAAAATTGTAAGAACTAAAATCAGAGCATTATAGTTTTCCCGAAAAGTTTAGCAAAATATTCGAAACATTCAAAAAACGTTTAATTTGGACCATACTTTAACGTGTTATTATAATTTAACAGCGTAAACTAATAAAATAATTCGAAGTGGTGTGTATTCTGTCGAAACTGCCAGACGAGTATCGCGATTTCGATCTTTTTGGATCTCATGATCGAAATCGCGATCCGCGTCTGGCAGTTTCGGGATTCGTTTTCAGCAAGTAGATATCCACACAAGTGGATCTTGTTGGAGCATAAGTAATCCTAAAATGTAGCATCGTGCTACAGATGGCGTTTACTGCGCCATTTGTAATATTTTCTAAAGAGTAAACTAAATTTCCCTGATAATAGACACATTTATTTCATTTCTAAGATGCTCAGATGGCCTATCCTGTACGAATGGGTTCCAGTGCATAAAAAAGGATAAGATATGTAACGATATCGTCGACTGCTCTGACAAAAAGGACGAAGAAAACTGCACTCAACGTTTTTGTGGAGATTCTTATTACCATTTTCTCTGTACCAACAAAAGATGCATTAGAAAATCTGTTGTAAACAACGGATTCGACGATTGTGGGGACGGTAGTGATGAAACTGATATTTACAATCAACAAAATAATCACATCATAGTACTGTCCATCATTTTCACATGTTGCATTCTACTTGTCGTTTGTTGCGGATTAGTAATGAAATGGAGAAAAACAAGAATTAATGTCAACGACGTTTTAGCCGACCTTCCTCAGTTCCCTTTATCACCATTCAGAGGTCCACGGGAAAATGAACAGACAGAAACTGAGGTGCAATACTCGGAATCTGACTTCCTTTTTGGTGGGCCAATATATGAAGAATTCGCGGATGTTCGTAGGAGAAGTGAGAGACGTAGAAAGAAACGGAATCAAAAAAGGACAGAACAACAAGAAGCCAACAGGCGAAAGAATTTTATGTCTGATGGAATAACAATTGCAAAACCCCATGAGAGTGGAGAAGGTAAAGTCTATTTGTTATTTTCTAGGAGGGAGTATAGTACGAAAAATACGGCAAAAATAATTGTTAGTGCACTCTCGATCATTATTTGAAATTATGGAGTTTAATCAGTTTCTTTTAACCGCTGCCTAAAGGATTAATATTTTTCAATCTTTCGCTAACGCGTATGATTATTTAGCATCTTCAGGGATTGTCTTGATATTCTCCTAAGAGGAGTTCTTGGCGATGCTATCTAGTGTTTTTAAAACGTAGAAGAACAATTAATCCTTTAACATGATGACTTAAAAGTCACAATAAAAGTAGGTAACTTCAGTTTTGTATAAGACGAGTGTTTCAAGAAATATGATGGGATTCAAAACATCTCGTCTGTTCTATTGATTTGATTCTTACGGTAAGTTATAAGATTTATAAATCTGAATTATTAGGTACGTTAGTCGTTTAATTATTCAGAGAAAATTTACAATAATGATTCTGACGACACCATAAAAGGTGGTCAAGTACAAAAACTTTAAAACCATTCAAAATGGTTTAACATACATATATAAGAGAATTTTTGGATAGTCCTTGGGGATCTTTTATTGCTGCGGCTATTTCTTGGAACACTCTGTATCAAATCCTTCGATTATTCCTACTTCTATTGCAGAAGTGTTGACAGTTGTGACATTTCAACACGTACAAAGACTACAATGCCAATATAATCGTTATAATTCTCTTGCAGAACACACCAATGACAATTTTTCAATAAGCATGACAATAAGTAACAATTCTATCTCAAGCACTCACATCAACGACAGTTTCCTGTTTAAGTATTATTTTGATTCATTTGTCGATTCTAATCAGTCACTGTGTTAATAATAAATGGTACCAATAAAGAAATTAACTTCTTGACGGGGTTATGACTGTTAAAAAAAATTGTACTTATTTAATTAGTTGGACAACTGAAGCAATTAAGAATTTCAGAACATCCTAGAACGTGTCTTACGAACGAACACAACAATGTCACTAACAGATAATAAAATACTTGGAAAACTGTTAAAGAACACACAAGGGAAGTGAAAGTGTGTATTCCACATTTTTGGCTGAAACGATTCCAAATGTGTTTAATTAGATTACTGAAAGTTTACGAGCTCAACAGTTGCCAATGACACAGAAAACTGCGTAAAACGGAGATGTTTTGTTTGGGAATTCCGAACTATGAATCATGGATTCCGGCTTTTGCATACAGGGCGCTCCGAAAGGGAAAAAGAGAAGCAACGTTCAAGTCAAAGGTTACGGGTGCTGCAGAACTATCGAAAATATTGGATATTATATATTTACTTTTGTAACACAATTACTACAATATATCAATATGGCTGTTTATAGAGAGCCGTGACCAACTCTCGATGAAACGCCGGGAATACAACCCTAGCACCATAAATGACGATTCCCAGATCTGCCTTCTGACTGAGAAGATTGTCTCGCTGCAGAAAAATATATTTTAACCTTATCGTCATATGTATATGTGCTTCTTGAATAAATTTTAATTATATAATTAGATAGAATTAAGCGTGAAGTATGGTTCCTATATTACAATTCTATCAATATCAGAAGCCGTAGGTTGACTATCAAACAACTTCGTTAGTGTTTTCTTCTTCTGCTGCTACTTTATGATAATTTGCATGTCTTTCAGAAAAGAAATTAGTAAAAAATAAACAAATTAAGAAAAAAAGTAGCTACACATCGGACACATTAGAACCTGACCACCGGTATATCATTCAAGCATCCACACAATTGAACCAGAGCTATTTCCTGTTAACCTTGTGTGCAAAGTAGGATATATTGCGTTACCACCTTTTACAGTCACAGACATTTTTTCGGGTCGTTAAGGCTCTATAGCCGCTGCGGACTAATATAGTGAAGTAGCATACCTACACCACAACTAGCTCTGACGTGTTTGTATAAAATCCCCTTTTGACCAAATAAATTTTCTGAGTCTGATGGAAAAAAAAACTTTTGAGAATCAAAAAATTTATTAGGAATTGTTGCATTGTCAATGTTAGATGTTAAAGATCCTTCCCGACTTGAAAAAGAAATTTGATGTCTCAATATCGACACGTAAATTACTCATTAAAATTTGATAGTTTCATCGAGATTATAATATGTAAGTTCGTTTATTCGAAGAATCGTAGGACTGAATTAATTTACAACAACATAACACCCACTGCATTTCATCACTAGTCGTTTCTGATTTAACGTTATTATAATAAAACAAACACACTTCCCTTACTCAGTTTCTCGTCCTCAAACTACTACGGTTTGATGACGATAACAACTGAAATGTTCTCTTATTAACATTAGTTAAGCAAATTGTTATTGAGTGTTTCCATAAGTATTTGTACAACGATAGTGGTAAAATAATAAAGTTGTATCACTTTCATAAATTCAACAACGGAAGAAAATAAAAACAGTCATCCACATAGGTAATATTTACTGTTACCACCATAAAAAAACGACATCCGTAGGTGTATCAACCGAAGTGTTGTATAAAACGTCTTCGTGATTGCAGTGTCAACGGTTACTGCACATGTGTCGTGCATGTGACAACGAAAAATGTGAAACGCTCCAGAGAATTTTCATGTCATTCACTCAACAAATCCGCCACATGTGTTACTACATTGTACACCCAAACGGGTTAAAACATGTACGTTGATATTACATTTTATACTGTATTAAAGAACTTATAAGTAAGATTTATTAAATCGAAAAAACAATAACGAAATTGTATAATCTTATACAGTGGAATTCGTTTATTATGACTCCGCCTATATTGACCAACCGCTTAATATGAAGTAATTGCAGTATTAAGTTTGGTTTTCATATTAAATTCTCTATAGGAAAGTTTGGATATAATGACTCTGTTTAAAATGACATATCGTTTATTATGACTAATTCTCAAGAAATCATATCCGGCTATAGTGACCCAAATGATTAATAATAACATTTTCGCTCATTTTTCTGACCCTT